GAGGGCACCAACCGCGCCGGCGGCGGCGCGCGCCCCCTCCCCGCCTCAGCACTCACGTTCTCCGGCGCGCGCAGCGGCGGCGGCAGCAGCACCAGCCCGGGCCCTCCCGCTGCGCCACGTGACCCGGCCACCACTCAGCGGCGAGGGAGGCGGTTTCCAGCCCTGTCCTCCGTGCTGTCCGCGGCCGCGCATGCGCCGGCAGGCGTCCGGCCCGCCGCGGGCATCGTCCATCGGAGGGGCGGGCTGTGGGGGAGGGTCGGTTGTACCTGCGGCAGGGCTGCGAGGGTGCTGCTGGCGGGGGACGTTACAATTGACGCAGAGTAGCCGGGCCCGGGGAGTAGCGCGGCGCAGGGGCGGCAGGCCGACGCCAGGCCCGTTGCCGCTCGCGTAGCGCCCGGTTTCCGCCCTGTAGCTCAGAAGGGTTCCGCCCAGCAGCTGAGGCAATTACTGAGGAGTGGGCGAGGGCCTCCTATTAGCTTTATCTGCACTGCAGGCGGGAGGGGGTGGTGTTCAGGCGGATACAAATCGGCGAAGATAAGGGGGTGTTTAAGAGCGGGCGAGGAGCACGCCGGCTTTTAAGCAGAGCCCCTCAGCGAGTACGTTCTGGTGAAATATCGGCTCCAGGTGATAAAAGGTGCCTGACTTCTCGGTTGGAAGGCTTTGAATTGTGTTTATTCTAATAACGCCTGCGAAAATATCGGTTACTGGTACTACTTACCATTAAAATGCATAATTAGGTTCCCTTTGAAAATGTCTTGCTGCACATGCAAAACAGTAACTAGCTCTGTAATAGTTCAACGGTTTGTTTTTTTTTTTTCAAGCATTAAAGGCAATTGGATGAACGTGTTAGTTTCACTTGCATAGAGTACTATGGTGTTAAGTATTACTCCCCAAATTTGATACAGATACCTAGACTTCAAGCTTTGTTAATAATATTCAGTAGGGAATACATTGAGCAAATTATAAATGCCTAAAATAATAGGTTATCATGGAAATGTTGGCAAGCTGATGGTGCAAATATGTGACTAGAAATGAATCATACAAAATTCATAGCCAAAGCTACATGTAAACGGCCCTATTTTGCTGTCATTTATGTGGCACTTAGGTTCCATAGAACATTTTGGCAACTCATACAAGTATGTCATAGAATTTATAAGAAAATTGTATTCTGCCCTTCCAAAAACAGCACACAGCTCAGCAGACTGGCAGGCACGAAAGGGGCTGAATTCCTAGAAATAGGGTGGAGATCAAGTTAAAGAAGCAGGCTTTGCCAAAACAAGCAACTTCAGCATAGTCTTCTCTTCCAAGAATGAACAGAAGCCAAAAGAGGAGGGCAGATTCAGTGTGTGCCACCATTTAGACACGTTATCTTAAGCTCCCTAGTTTTGGCACATTTAGATCTGTTACCTCAATTAATGCTAATCATAATAATTCGTAGAAATCACAGGATGTGGGAGTTATAAATGCCTAGACTGATAGATTTTCAATCATACACCAGGTTTTCTATAATTGGCACCATTTTCTGTAATAGCATACTCCATTTTCATGCAATCACAATTCCAGTCTGTAATTCTTAAAGATGCAGTATTTATTGCCTGAGTACAGGTCCAGATCTTACTACTGGATGTACAAGTCCTGAGGTTGTGGTTCTTTTCTGGGACCTAGAAGATCTGGATTTCATTCTTAGTTCACTTCCTGGGTCAACCTGAGCAATCATTTATTAATATTCTGTCTTTTCAGGTCCTTATGGATACGGCACGGATAATCAAAGTCACAGGAACAATGAGAGGCTATGTAAATGAATGATGTGTTCAGATGCTATAATTAATGGGCCACATATGTAGATAGATTAAAAAAAAAAACATTTTTCTTGTACTTTTTAGCCAAGTGTAGGATTTGATACCCATTAAGTTCTTAAAATTTGTTTTCTTCTTGTTCTATACAAATTTTGCTAAAAAAAATGCAGATCTGGAATATTTTATACTTGCATAAATAGCTAGTTCTACTGGGTTTGCAGGTCAACTGACTGCACTGGTTAGAAAAAAAACCAAAACACCTGCTGCTCTCTTTCTTTAATCTCAGGCCACGATTTACCTCATGGATGTCTTTTACCTTTTTGTCTGAATGTTCATTTTTCTTATCAATAAACTTGAATAAAATGAGAAATACTGTTTGCAAACTACAACTTTTTTTTTATGGAAAAATTCAAAAGTTGATGAATTTTATTTCTTTAGCCTTGCTCATACATCTGTGCAATTACCCAGCTTTCCTCAACATGAAACATGTTCTTGAGTAAGAATAGCAATTCAGTTTGGCGGAAGGGCTGGCACATAAAAGGTTAGTTGAGTTCATGTAAGACAATATCCCTTTCCATTTCAGTGACTATTAACAGTATAGGTTCTGTTTCCTAGTAATGGCTGGCCTGATTAGAAAGAGAATTCAATACTTGGAAAGAAAATAAGGAAGAAATAAACAAAAACATCATTTTTATAACCCATGTACACTTAGCACAGGAGTGACGCATACGGTTAGCGCTGCTTACGCCTTATTGCTAACTATATAATCCATGTAAATATTTATAATACAGCTATTATCAGTGTAAACATACAGCTTAGTCATGTGTTGACCCATAATGAAAAAGTGACATTGAGATCTTTCCTTTGCTTAATAGCACAAGGTTTAAACATGTTTTTGAAGCAGTAGAGCAGGTCTCAGAATACTCATTTTTTCTGAGATTTATACCAAGGCTTTCCAACATGAAATAATTGGGAAGAAACAGCCTGCTATGGAATGCATGGATGCAAATTAAATCCATATCTGAAGGATATGTTTTTAATTAATGCTGGGAATCTGATAGCAGCATATTTGAAACACTGTGTATGTTAATCTTGAAGGAACTAGTTAGGACTAGTCCACAAATGTAAGAAGAATGTCAAAGCATAGTTATGGTAAAGGAACTGTGACTTTTCTAGGCTGTCAGTACATGACAGTGTTTACAAATAGTAGAAGAAGAGAGAAGCAGTAACTCAGAATTTGATACATGGAATATTATGAGTCTGTCAGAAAATTAACAAAATACAGATGCTTAAAGGATCGGTTTAAACATGTTACTAGTTTATATACAGCTATTGTACCACTGCTACCATTCTGGTTCTGAAAACAACGCTTTGGAAACTGTGGAGGCAAGCCCTTCTGAGAGGTACATACAGAAATACCATCTGATAGCAAATGTTTTGTATGAATTCAGGGCTTGCTCTTTCAGAGTCTTTGATCTGACATTAACTTTGTCATTGCTATGTAGCCCACCCATACTAACTTTTCCTTAGCTGGTGATGTACTTTCTCCAGTTCAGCTGCCATTACCACCCACACTATAGCTTTATAATACAATATGGACAAATGGAGTGAAAAATGTAGATGCTTTCTCTCCAGCTTATAGAGATAAAAAGGAATATATCCTGGAGGTTCTTGATCTGTTCATATAGTCTGCCGGAAGGAATAGAAGAAACATCTGGTGGAAAATAAAAGAGTGTATTGGTCTGAACGTGGGCCAGAAGAAACGGACTAACATCAAAAAGGTTTCACAACACTTACAGCCAAAGGGGCCTTTGATCATCTAGTCACCTCCTGCTTATCCAGATACTTCCACATTGCATTGAGAGACTTCAGTTAAACCAAAGCATTTTCATCCTCAAAAGCCTAAGCTGTTGTATGTGACCAGAAGAGAAGAGAGTAGGCCAAAAGGCAGTATTAAGGAAATTAATGTGTGAAATATGCCAGGAAGATGGTACCAGGCAATCCCTCTACGCAACTAAAGAGCTTTCTGAAAAAAGGTATCAAAGAGAATATAATTTGAGATCACTGGTACAAAAAACCTATAATGTAAAAAGTTATTGGTTATGGAATAACCAGAGTAACCTGCTGTCGTCTAAAATTGATTTTAAAATACATATATGCAAGCATTTATCTTAATTTTGCTTGGCCATAGGAATGTTAAATAGTCATTACTAAAACAGTCTGAAAGTTGTTAACCATAATAATACTATAGGCAGAAAATATTCTGTTGAATACAGTTCTTTTTTCAGTGGCAACATAATTTACATCTCATCATTCACAGTTTATACAAATCATGAAGTTAAAGTACATTCTGCTGCTGGCAGGGAATTTTTTTAATACTGTAGCTGTGAAAATTTTGTGATTATTTCCCATTTCTATAAAGCATTCACATAATGTTTTCCTTTATGGAAAGATGGGGTTTGATCCAATTTTTAATGAAATTTTAACTGCTTTATAACATGGATGTATCAGTAATCTGGTGACATCTTTGTGTGCTCCATTGGCCTGCAGGATGCCAGGACAGTGGAAGCGATGTGCTCCCCCAGGAAGATGAAACGTTGATTTGTAGTACTCCCAGGTTCCCAGCTCTCAAAGTTGGGCTAATCCAGAGGCAATACTGGAGGGCTTTATCTGGCACTCCTTGTAAAGAAGGATTTGTCAAAGATAGTAAAGGAATTTCTCCAGAAATTACATTAAGCCCCCTTTTGGAAGTCTTTTCTTGCTCTGTATTTTCTCATGGATATATAAGTAGAATTCAGGTTCTGCATGTTTTTGTCTTTTTACGCTAACCTTGGTTCTACAACGTATATGCTCACCAACCTGACTCATGTCCCCTGCAGAGAGGTTGAGAGGCAGAGGTAGGAGTGGGGAAGCATTTGGAAGATGGGCTGACACCAGTGAAAGACTGTTCCTAAAATTTTACTTCACGAGTCAATCTTTTTACTTCTGTGTTCGTGCAATGAGAGAAGCTGTATTTCCCTTGGAAGTTGGAGCCCCAGAAGTAGTGAGGAGGCATAGTATGTCGTAGTACTCATAATATTCATAATATTGAAATGGGAGTTGATTATTTGTTTTTGGTTACATAAACCAAACTGGTTTTAACTTAATGGGCTTTCTAAAGTTGTCTTTAACATATTAAGTTTTATTTAACAAAACTAAGCCTAACAAAGGCATCTGTCATGGTCTCAGAGCACACTGATAGGCCTTAATTGCCCTGACCAGCCTCATTTGGGTCCCCCTACCTGCACCCCCTGCC